CAGCTCCTCCCCACCCCAACCTCCAGCTGCTGACGCTGCCTGCCTGGAGGCGGGGCTTTCGGGCGGTGGGCAGGTGTGGCAGGGTGGACCTTGGGTTTAGTCCCCAGGATGGGACAAGTACATAGTGGGAGGAGAGAGGGAGGAGCACCAGGCCTAGGGGTAGGAAACAGCACTTGAGGGGTGTGTGTGTGTGTGTGTGTGTGTGTGTGTGTGTGTGAGAGAGAGAGAGAGAGAGAGAGAGAGAGAGAGTAGTGGGAACCTGTGGCCAGATGGCCAACACCCCCTGACTAGGATCTGGGCTGTGGAAGAGGTGCTGACTGAGTTTCGTGGGCATTCAGAAGGTGGGGTTTGTGCTTTCAACTGGGTAGTCCAGGAGGGCTTCTTGAAGGAGGGGCCTTAGAGCTGGCCTTGTGAGATAGGTTGCATTTGACAGAGCGATCTGGGAAGCCGAGGCCAGGTACCAGGTGCACTAAAGAACACTAGGGAAGGCTTCAGGCAGCAACAAGGGGCTCGCAGGGGAAGCAGCCACCGGGATCTCTGGAGGGTGGAGCGTGGGGCAGGAAAGGAAGCAGGAAGAAAGGCAGAGGCAGATTGGAGTCCCCCCAACCCCAGCCCCTGCGAGATTTACCCCATCCAGCCACAAAACTATCTGGTGCCTGACCTCCAAGAGAACCCTGTGAAAGAGAAATGCCCCAGGAGGGCTCTTAAGTAAGGATTCGTGCCTTAGCCTCAGTTTCTCCATCTGTATTGCAAAGGCCTACCGCAACTTCCACGGGAGAACAGGACACAGGATGGGTAGGGTGTGGGAATATGGGCAGGAGAAGGGGATGAAGCACCACAATCTAGGAGATGGCATGAAAAGGAAAGGCAAGAAAGGCCACCTGCAGGCTTTGGTGACCACTGAGCCCCCGAACAGTGGTCCTGAGCCCTCTCTGTGCATAACAGGTCTTCCGGGAGCACACACCCCTGCCCAACTTGCAGGCACTGGCAGTGTTCTGCATGGATACAGCAGCTCTGCCTGCCCCACTCCCCACCCACCTGCCAGCCCACCCCTCTCCTGGAGTTTGCATTAAGCAATCTCCATTATCACAAATGCTTGGCATTTTTGCCTGGTAATTACAGCTCCCACAGCCCCCGAGGATTAGGGTAAGATTAGGGAGTAGGGAGGATTCTGGCGGGTGGAGAGAAATACCTGCAAATAGACTTGGCAGCCTGACGGCCTCCTGCAACTTTTAGGATCCCCTAATAAAGGCTCAGTGGCCACCTTAAGGATCGTCCACAGGGCCTCCGGTAGCAAAGGCCATCAGCCACTTTTCACTGCCATCCCCTCCCAGCCTCTCCACCTGCACTGCCTCCGCTGGGAGCACCGCAGTTGCCCCTCAACCTCCGTGTCAGGGAGCATGGTGTGCAGCAGCGCTCCTAGCAGTTCTCCTCTCCTGGGGAGGATGCCCAGCCCCAGCCCACAGCCAGAGACCTTCACCTGTGCTTCACCCCCGCTGCTAGACCTCTGGGCCCCCCATGCTCTGCTCGGTCATCCCAGAGGAGACCTGCAGACATCATGGACTTTCCTTGTCTCTGCTCTCACTGTTCCTTCCAGCTGGAATGACCTTCCATCCAATTCTCCACTTGTCAAAGCCCTGCTCATCCTCCAAGGCCCAGATTAGATGCTCTGTCCTTCAACGAGCCTCTCCTACCACACTGGAAATATTAAGAGCCAACAATTAATGAGTACTTGTGATGTGCCAGGCCCTGTTCTAAGCACTTCACAATGTATTAGCTCACTTAATCCTCCTCCCAACTCTATGAGGTTGTAATTTTACAGATAAGCGAACAGGCCCAGAGAGCCTAAGTCGAGTGCTCGAGGCCACATAGGTACGAAGCAGCTCCTTCCACACTCGCCCACAAGGCACCTGTCTTACATGTCCCTTCAGTGCTGTTTTATGGGGAGTACTTATGCATTTCCACTGTCTCCCACAGAAATCACAAGCCCTAGAGCAGAGCTTCCGAAACTTGACCTCTGATTCAACTGAGGATTTGTTGAAGTGCAGACGGATCCAGTACTTCTGGAGCAGAGCCCAAGTCTACATTTCTAAGAAGCCCTCAGGTGATGCTGCTGCTGCTGGTCTAGGGGCCACACTTTGAGTAGCAGATCTAGACTAGAGCAGCAAAGTCCTACTGTTGCCGTCGCTTGCTTAGCAGAGCCGAGGGCCTGTGGAAGGCTCTTGAAGACCTGGCCCTTCACCAGCCTTGGCCCTCCCAGGTGGCGGAGGGCAGGGCTGGTGCTTTGGATGGACTGGGTCCCAGTCCCCTCCTGGTCTTCCCTTTGGGCTCAGACACGGAGACCCTGGACAGCGGCCAGGTAGAATCTGGACTCACCCCTTCCCTAGGTTGTCCCCCAATGACCCTCCAAGCTCTGGCCCAGCTCTAAGCCCCAGAATTCTTGTAGTTCTGGAAATTGCTCTTCTTACCTGTGCTGCCTCTATGCAGAGCTAACAGAGTAGTGCAAACAGTTCTGCCAACACTGCCATCCCTGTCTGCTCAGCCACGACAGTGAAGGCAGCTGAAGAGGCCAGTGCTGGTGAGGATGTCTTTGCAGAGAAGCATCAGGGTGCGGAGCTGCCACCACCCCCAGCCATGGGGAGAGGAGGAGGTGCATCTCCACTCCTGTAGCCAAATGAGGGGGGCTTCAAAAGAACTGCTGGGTGCCCCCGAGGTATGGGACACACTCATAGAGATGACCCCAGACTCTTGAGTGGGAGGGTAAAGGTGACAGGGGCAGAGCAGGCAGACAGAACGAGTTGGGAAGGTCTGACCTCCAGGATCTAGGGGGCAAAGATGGTGCTTTGCGTGGTTTAGGTGTGGATTCTGCAGACGGAAGACTCAGGGCTTCTAACAGGGGTAGGGGGAGGCTGGCAGAAGCACTTGGGTGCTGCTAGGAGCAGCAGTTGGAGGGTGGGTCACCAACTCAGGAGATCCCCTTACAAGAGGGGGCCCCCCTGTCAGAGGCCACACAGCAACACCCAGACGGGGGAGAGCTTCCTCTCCACAGCCCTCCCCTGCCCGGCCAACCCTCCTCCCGGAGCAGCCAGAGGCAGCTTGGGGGTCTGGGAGGACTCCTGGGGCAAAAAGTCCCCTGAAGGGGAAGGGGAAACTTTAATGTAACCTGGGGGTCTCTGGCCCCTCTGAAGCCTACCCACAGTGTCCCTAGGAAACTCTGCAGCCCGGTGGAGCACTGCACGTGAGGAGGCAGGGGCCCGCATGCTGTTCCCGTGGACCCGCTGCGGCACCGGGTCTGGGGAGAGCAGGGCTGGGCTTTGCTCATCTCCATTCCAGGAAAACCCAGAGACGCCAAACTGTGTGTGTACCTGCGTCCTGGCTTCTAGAAAAGCGCTTTTGTAATTTGTTGGAACTGGTCTTCTCGAGCAACACTGGGAATAGTTTGTTTTCTCTAGCCCTGCCAAAGGGACTCTGGTCAGGAGGTTAAGTGAGTTTCATTGAAAAGACACACTTTTCCTTCCCCGGCTGATAAACAAGGCTGCTGCAGGGAAACCGACTTCCTTTGCCCAGGCGTTCAGCTGGGGCGGCCTATGCCTGGCCAAGGAAAACAAATGCATAAACATTTCAGGGGTATATAGGAAGCGTTTCTGCTGGGAGCCCGCTGTGAATGGCTGCTGGAGTTTACACAGCAAACCCCAGGGGCCTCGGCACAGACCGGACAAAGAAGTCCTGGCCCTCCCCTTCCCTCCTGGCCTGGCTGGCCCCTCCCTGTCTCTCCCCAAAGACTGACAGTCAGGCCACTACACGTGTCCTGTCCACAAGAACACAAGACAAGCTCTCTAGCTGTCACCACCAAATGCCAGTTGCATCTCCTACATGCCTGGTAGCTAAAAAGAAGGGATCTCTTTTAGCCATCACTGCAGACAGGGGACACAGCCCACAAGCTGCCTGCATCTATCCTGAGCCCAGTGGGGCACGCGGAGGCTGGGGACAGGCTGCTGTCCACTGTTCACCACTCTCCTAGGCTCTCCCCGAGCCAAGGCAGACACATGAGGAATGCATGCCCCGGCCCCGTGTGTGAACACCCACCTCCACACAGCCCCTGAGGCTCAGCCGCAGTGCTCGCTGGGCACAGGCAGGGTTGGCGCAGGGGTGGCAGCTCCTGAGGGCTTTGCCATTATGTTGTTCGGAGCTTCTCATGTGGACAGCCACGTGACAGGAACTCCTGGAGGCTAGCGCTCTGCCCCTGGGCTCCTCCATGCCATCCTGTTCTTGCCAACCACACACAGGAGTCCTTCACTCTGGTTTTGACACAACTCACTCTCTCTATCTCTCTCTCTCCCTCCTTTTTATCAGCCTCCCACTGCATTTCTACATTTTCTCACGTTCCTTTTTGAAACCAGTAGGACAGAAATGAATGGAGTGAACGAGGCTCACACTACAATTTTCCCTTCATGAGTGATTATGGCGTTTTTCCCATTCCATCCTACCCCATCTTTGCTCTGGAATGTGAGGGGCTCCACAAGCTCTCCCCACATATTCCCTACAGCCACAGAGGGGAACCACCTCCGGTCCCTCTGTCACCTTCGATCCCTATCCTATTGCCTGCCACCCCCACCCTGGCCAAGAGGCCCCTCCCTGAAAGGCTCTTTTCCCTTCTTCCACCTGGCCAGGTCTACCTCTATCCTCATGGGGCCTCAAAGGGATCCAGGTCTGCCCTGACATGGGCTCCCCACGGCCCTGAGCTGCCTCTGGACAGCACAGCTGATGTAGTTGGTGCCTCAGACCTGCGCTGATCCAGTGGGAGACAGGACAGGGCAGGAAACTCAGAGAGGGACAGCACTGGACCAGAGGGCATCAGATCCGTTAAAAGACATCTTAGCCTGAGGGTCTCCTGGGCTCTGGGGTCCCTCCACCCATCACAGCATCCACCCCAGCTGTGATCAGCACAGATCTTGTATTCCCTTTGGAGCAATAGAACAAATAAGTCTTGGCCATCAGCATGGGTTTGACTCTTGTTTTATAGAAAGTCCAACTACCAGAACCAGTGAGTACCCAAGGTCCCCGGGGCAACCACATCATAGGCCTTGTTGAAGGGAAGACCCAGAGGGGAGCAAGGGAGGGATGCAGATAAAAGGCAGCAGAGACCCCGGTGGCCTCCTTCTAGTCCTCGGCAGTCCTGGCTCAGTCTTTGGGAGGGGACACGGCAGCACACTGGGCCCCTCATCGTGGTCCCGGGTGGGCCCTTCATGGAAGGGGCAGGGAGGCTCTGCATGCTTCTGCAGCACTGCTGGCCCAGAGGGGCGACGCTCTTCTCAGAGACTTGCCCCTGAGGCCTGGGGTCCAGCTGTCACCCCCAGCGATGAGCAGTGGAGCCATAGGGCTCACCCACATCTAAGGATCACAGGATGGGGTCTGAGCCGTTCCAGTTCACCAACGCCCCCTTCCACCTAAGGGCAGAGGGACAAGAGAAAGAGTTAGAGCTTCAGGCACCCAGATAGGGGCCCATCCCTTGCTCCCACTTACTGAGGCTTTTGTCTTGGAGGCTTTGAGGATTTCAGGTTCCACGCTGCCCACGTCACCCCTCCACACTCAAACACAAGCCCACGCACCAGTCCCTTATGAAACACAAACACACACAGGACCCTGGGAAGCACCAGAGAAGACAGAGGCGGGAAGTGATTCATTCCTTTGTGCCACAACCTACTTTGCGCCTGGCCCTGCAGGGCACTCTGCTGATGTGAGTAACCCACACACAGCGGCTTTCCAGAAGTGCCTGGCATTGACACTTTAGAGGCAGTCGTGCAGACCTAGATATGGAGAAATCCTGGAGCGTCTAAAGCGCAGAAGGAGGCCCAGGGGCCGGAGCCCAGAATCACGGCAGAGAGGTGCAGAAGGGGCTGGGAGCTGGCAGGTCCTTGTGAGGATTCTGGACCTTACTCTGAGAGCCTTGGAAATGGTGATGGGCTGTGAGCACCGCAGTTAACACACAGATTTTTTTAAAAAATTACTTTACCTTAAGAAGCACTGAGAATAATTAAATTGTAGTCCAAGGTTATATACAACTTTATGATAGTTTAGTTGCAAAATAAAAGTTATTGTAGTGAGACTATGAAATTTCCTAACACTTGATTTTAATACATGACACTAATTTTCTAAAAAACAACTCAGGGGAATCACATTTATAGCGGATGGAGTATTTATGCCAAATCTGGCATGAGGTATATCGTACATATACATATATCCTAAGACTATACATGAACTAGGAAACGGATGTTGCGTATCGCAACAGCAGCATTAGAGCAGCGTTTGAGACTAGGGTTTATAAATGCTTTTCAAAGCGTGGGGTTTGGGTAGAAAGCAGACATCTTGTTTTCCAAACCTAAAGTTTTTCGTCAAGACTAAAGTCAAAATCCTAACCATCATACAGAAGGGAAAAAAAAAAGATTTTCTCTCTTTAATTGTATATCTGCATCAGAAAGTCCAGTATCCTGAGATTGAAACTGCAATAAGAAGGGTGTGAACAGGTTCTCTCAAAGTAACATAGTTGCATTTCCCCACAGAATGCTTGGAAGGACCAAGAGGCTTCTGTTAATGGACCCCTATTAGTTTCAGATAATGAAAGTCCAACCAGCAGGGAAATGGCCACTGCTCTGACTCATACAGCTGAGCAGATTCTGGAGGTAAGACGTGCTGGGAAGGAGTGTGCTGAGCCCCAGTTCCTAGGGGCTGGGCGGATCCACTGCATCTACTAGGTTAATGGAACTTTAACAATCTGCAGCAATGCAACGAGGGTTTAATTGATTCTACCACACTATTTGAGATTTTCAATTTTCTTTCTCTGCTCATCATCTTGCAGTGTTGAAGTGTATCATTAAAAAGCTTTTATTGTACTATTAAGATTTGTAGGTGAGCACTAAAGTCTTGGACACTAGGAACACATCTTGAATCTAGATGTCCAGAGGATGGCAGAAGGGAGGCAGGAAGAAGAGGGACATTGCCGCCCTTAGCCTGGTCCCTAGGGCCCTTCACCCTGTCTCTCTCTAACCCTCCAAACCTTTATCCTCCCCACTCTGATTCAAGTTCCTCCTATGAGCTCCCAATTTGCAAAGTTCTCAGGTCCTAGCAAAATGGGATCCTGCAAATGCTCCAGTGCAGGGTGAGTCATGCTCATCTGCCACAACATCCGCATCACACCTCGCTGTCAGGCTGTTGGGTTCATGTTTGGTTTTGAGGCTTTTTACAGACCTAATCAACTCTCTGCATCCCAGCCACCAGGTGCAAATGCAGGGGGAGTACTGGAAGCACCAGAGAGAAGCAGTTCACAATTATGAAAGAAAATCACAGCAGAAACATTTTAAAAATGGAAAGAGCTAAGATATTACGGATGTTATGCTTTTATAGGGGATGAATCGCCCCAGTTGGAATGGTTCTGAAAGTCTGAGTCAATTACAAGGACAAGAAGGAACTCTGCATATGCAATTAACAATTAGGGGCAGGCAGAGAAAGGGAAGGAAAGAAATGAACTGCTTCTGAGTGTGGCAGGAGTGGCAGCATCGAAGCCCTGGACTCGCTGAGTCAGGAGGCTGCTGACAACATGACAGCTTAGAGCAAGGTTTCTCCCCTCTGCACCTTGGGCATTTGGGGCTGGGAAGTTCTTTCTTGTGGGGGCTGTTCAGCACCCTCCCCCTGGCTGTGACAACTAAAAATGCCCCCAGACATTGCCAAATAACCCAGGGATGCAAAATCACCCCCTGCTGGGAACCACCTACTTTGTGAAAATGCCATGGTCCCTGGAGCTCAAGTCAACTCAGTATCATGGAGTGGCAAATCATGGCCAAAACTGGTGGGGGCAATCACTGCAACAGAGGAGCGGATACCTGCCTCAACAGGTTTTCAGTGCTGATGAGACTGGGGTATTGCAGCGGGGAAAAGAGCCTGACAGAGCCTGTCGGCAAGCAGAGGGCGGGCCTCGTTTCAAAGCTCCTAACTGGTAGAAATATATCCAGGGACTCCTCTTGCTCACTTTGAATGTCCAGACAAATAGGCCTATATGGCAAGTTTCTGTTCCTGTGCTGCAGCCATTTGGAACCAGGAGCAGCTCTAGGGTGAGCCACCTGGGCTAGCCCTCACCTGTGGGCCTCAATCTGTGCTGTGCCCTCTCCTGCCCACCATGCTTCAGGATCAGTTCCAGGAGTCCTCCTTGCAGAAGTGTTCTGACTGTCAGGCCACCTGCCGTGCCCCTCAGCACCCAGGCCAGGCTCCAGGGCACAGTGGGTCTCACTCATGTCTGAAGCATGGGGGTGAGAGGTGCTGCTGCATGAACACACCCCTCCATGCCAGCTGCTCTCCCCCACCCCCAGGCACGCAGCAGAGACCTTGGTCTCCATTCACACTTCACAAAGTCCTGCCCAGGCCCACCGCCCCTGCTTCTTGCCCCCTCCTTTCTGCCTCCTCCCAAGCTCTTACCCAACTTGCCACCACCTGATTCTTCCTCCTCCCTCAACACACGTGCAGAGCCCCTGCTGGTCCTCAAAGGAAGAGTTTCCGCAGCTCTTCTCTCAACCTCACAATAGCTCAGGGATTATTATACCCAATCAACAGAGAGGGAAACTGAGCCGCACAGCAGAGCCAGACCTTCTGGAGCTCACACAGTGTGACAACCACAGAGCTGGTGCAGGGTAGGTGTGTGTGGGTAGCTGGGCATCTGAAGAGAAAGGCTGGCGGGGACAGTCGGGGCAGCAGGGGCACCCAGGGAACAGGGACTAGGTGAGGAGTCAACACAAAAGAAAGGGAAGGAATGAAATGGAACTGCTTCTGAGTGTGGCAGGAGCAGCAGCCACAAAGCTGAGCAGGAGGCACCTCAGGCGGGTTGGGGGACAGCTGAGGGAGATGGGTGCTCTGCCCCAGACCCTCAGAGGCGCCATTCCTAGCTAGAATTACATTTTCAATTTCTTGTCTGAGCCTCCAAACAGAAACATCTGTGCCTCAGGCCCCGGTTATGAGTTCTTTCCTCTTTTCTCTGGACTGTTGACAACTGTTTCATTTTCTCCCACTCTAGCTAGGCTGGAAGCATGAGAGAGGTCACTGCATGTGTCTTGGTTGAAAATGCCCATAAATGAGTTGGTTCTTGCTGTGGTGGTTAGAGAACAGCAGGGGGAGGGGTCGGGACAGACCCCACGTTCCTGACACATGCAAAGGTAACAGGAGACTCTCTGAAGCTGAGATGTGTGTCACACAAAAGGGGAGACAGCACAGGGACCCAGGGATGGTTCGAATTAGGATGCTCTTCTCCAAAGCCAAAACCGGCAGTCTGGACTTGTGCAATGTCACCGTGGCAACAAAGCCAGGTGATAAGAAGTCACAGTGCCCGCTCAGTGACCTTCCACTGGGCCGGGACAAGGGCCTAAGCTCCAGTCCCTGAGCTGCTACATCAGATGGTGTCTAAGGGCTACTGTGTGTATCCAAGTGAGCTCCCAGACTGCTAGGTATATGGCATGTCCTGTGCTGGGTCAGGTATGAGTCTGCAGTTCTTGTACGGCAACAGCTGGGTTTAAGGGTGGGCAGTACCTCCTTCCCTGGATTAGAACAGTGTTCATACTGAACTTGACTTCTAGTTGACTGTGAACTCTCACAGAGCAAGAACCAAGTCCTATTCAGCTGTTTCTTCCATGGAGTACACAGCCCATGGGTCCGAGGAAGGTTGATGTGATACGAGGGAAAGGCAACCTGCCCACCAGGTTGGTCTGCCTGCCACCTGCCCATTCAGCTGCATCTCATCTGGGCCTTGGGGCCTGACCCCAGCCTTGCAAAGGCCCTGAGCTCAGGCCACGGCACCATGCATACCCACTTCCTGACAAGGCAGGTTCTTCCTACAGACAGTAGCACCTACCCCTCAAGAGGCAGAACCCACCTCCAGCAGGTCCTCACTGACCTTGGAGGCCACTTTCCCAAGTTTTTCCCTTTGAGCTTTTTGAGGACCTATGCAAAGCCTTTGTAATCCAACCCCTTGGAATAGGATTCCAGGCTGGGCCGCTGTTTCCCGTTACAGTAGCACATTATCTGAGGGGTCGTGGGGAGGCCCAGTGTTACCACTCTTCACTCACCCACTCAGCTTTTCCAGGAATAGTGCTGGGAAAAAGCCTCACCGTGTTAACTGCCCAGCTGGACACACCATGACGGGGGAGTGATGGGGGAGCAGAACACACAGCTGGCCTTAGGAATACTCATGGGGGGTGCAGGGGAGCACAGAGGAAAGCACCTTGGCCTAGTGCTTTACTGCAAGCCAGACACTGGAGGGACAGCGCCTCACTCTACCTCACACTCACAGGCAGTCAGGTCGGAGGAGACGCAGGCATGGCCCTCACCAGTCACTAGAACAGCAGTTCTCAAATTGTGGTCCCCAGAGGCACACATGCATCAGCAGCACCTGGAACTCCTAAGAAATGCAAATTCTCAGGCTCCTTCCTGAACCAGAAATGCTGGGAGTAGGGCCCAGTGATCCGTGTTTTCACATGTTCTCCAGGTGATTCTGAAGCCCCTAAAGCTTGAGGACCACTGCTTTGGAGCAAGCCTTCCTGATGGGTGAGCCACACACAGATACGGGCTCCCCTCAGCCATCGGGGAGCTGAGTGGGGTCTGGAATGACTGGAATCCCCAGGCCAGTTGTCTCTAGCCCTGTGTGCTATGCAAATGTGATTATTTTCCGTCTGTAGCAAACATTGGGGAGCAGTGCTTGAGGAGGGGCCGAGAGCCCACTCCCTGACACAGGAAGCCTCTACACTTCCCCACATCTCCTCACTACCTGCTGGCACCTGGCACATGTGGCAGGGGAGGGAAGTCCAGGAACAAGGCAGCCAACAGAAGAGGAAGGAGCTTCATGCCCATGTCTGCACTTGGACTGTCACTCCATAGCATGCCAGACTGGGCCAGGGGCTGCCTCGGGGACAGGCCAGAGCCCTGAGTCGTTCTCAAATGACTGCCTATTGGGACTGAGCCTAAGAAGTGCAATCCTGGGCCTACGATGGGAGGCGCTTGCTGAGTCATGCAGTCAAATGGTCTGAGGGGAAAGAAGAGTTACTGCAGAAGGTCACGTGGAGAGGTTTCAGGGTGGTGGGCCACTCCCTGGGAGGCCTTCGATTAGGGTCCCAGGGGTCCACAGGCAAGCAGAGGCTGTGCCCAGGGTGCACTCAGAGCCCTGTTTGGCAGGTCCACCTGCAGGAAGGATGCCCTGTGGCCTCCCACGCTGTCCTGCACAAGTGCCAAGGCCAATGTCGCCTCTTTCCCCATTGCTGCTCTTCTCTCATCACTTTGAATGAGTGGCCCTTTGTACATGAAAGGAAAGTGACCTGCATGTGCCCTTAATCCTCCCGACGAAAGAAATACCGCCACATGACCCCGCAGGAACGCTTCATCCCTGGCCCAGGGGCAGGCAGGTGGACGGATGGGCGGGGCATCATGAGGATGTCCCAGCATCCCCTCCCACTTCCTCTTCCTGGTGTTTCTACTATGCACAGGAGTTCTCTCTCTGCAGCTCTACTCACAGGCTTGCTTGCCTGCAGGTGGGCAGCAACCCTAAGCTCCAAGTGTGCCACCTGGATCTCAAGGCAGTCAGCACTTACAGGACCTCAGCCATCATCCATATCTCCCCACCTCAACCCCAACCATGTCCCACACAGGGACAGGGAGATTCTGCCTGAGGTCACAGCCAATCATGAGTGGTCGAGACAATAATGAGAGCTAACACTGAGGGCACTTGGTAATGTCCTAGGCACTCATCACAAAAAACGGTGAGCTAGGGACTGCCCTTATCCCTGTTTTACAGATGACAAAGTGATTTGCAGATAGGTGAAGACCAGTGGCTCACACTAGAAAGTGGCAGAGCCTGGGTTGAAACCCAGGCAGCCAGTTCCCAGAACCTATACCCATAAAGGCTGCAAGTCCCACTGCTTCTCCAGAAGGCCCTAGGGTCCAGGTCTCCTCCCTCCTGGCATCTCCTTCCGCTGTACACTGACACATGTCGTGACCCAAAGGCTTCATGAAGGGCCTGATGGAGCGTGCCAGCCATTCCTGACAGCTACAGCCCCACCAGCCCTCTGGAGTGCTGCCCCAGCCTGGGCCTGCTCAGAGCACTCACAAGGGAAGTGAGCCCTGTGGACTGAGCACTCCCTCCAATGGCCTGCGCCTCAGCGTCCCCTTACACACAGAGGGGCTAGGTCAGAGGTGTCAAGGCCCCCACCTGGCTCTGAGGCTAGGGGCACCTCTGCTCAGTGTTCAGAGTAGTGGAGGCTGCTCCTCCCACCTGCCCCCACACAGAGGGTGCTGCTGCTCCAGCTGGCCACCTCCCTCCACACCCCGGCTGGGCCAGGCCTTCGCACCTTCCCATCCTGCTCCTTATGGTCTAATGGCACTTACCGCATCTGGCTGTTGCGTCCTTGAGGGAAGAGGGGCTTCAAGAGACACCCACTTACCCCCCTCCCCACCATGGGGACATCCTCAGATGCTGTCTGAAGACATGTCACCCCTGCAGATTACATGCTCCTGCAGATGGGCCCCAGTGACCACAGACAGAGAAACCTACTTATGCACAAGGCCCCAGCACTGCATCTTTCCAATCTGTGGGGGTCTCAACTAACCGCACCCCTCTCAGAACAGTCCAGGAACCCATCCTCCTTCCTGCAGGCCTGACCATTCCAACCACTGTACTCCCCAGCCACTCACTGTGAAGTTCAAAGCCAGAGAGGGACTGGACTCACTTGGTTCTGATGCAGTGCTCGAGGGGTGGGACCAGGTCATTGTCTCTGTCCTCAGGCGTGGTCTGGGTGGTGTCTGGAGAGGAGAGAGAGGCAGAGACACATCAACTAGGGACCTGCACTCACCCTGCGGTCAACATGGACAACCCTAACTCCTGAGGCCCAATCCTTCTAGTACCTGTCCTCTCCTCTCCATTTCCACTGGATCCGCCCTCATGCCTGGTATTGGTCTCACCTGGACAACTCACTGGTCCCTCACCTCCAGTGTCTGCTTCAGCTACCACAATATTCTTTCTAAAAACACATCTGACTCATCTTTTCAGGGCTCCCTATTGCCTGAAGAATAAATCCAACCTGTCAGCATTGTATTCAGGGCTCTTTACCATGCAGTCTCAACCTCACTTTATACTCGATGCCATCCACTGCTCAAGGCCCAGCTCTGGCCCCCTCCTATTGGAGGTCCTTGCTAACATTTGCTCTCTGATCCCCAAGCCCCAACACTCAAGTCTGCATTGTTTCCCAACTGTCCCAAGGGGGCATGTTAAGGCTGGTTTCCCTGAGGACGCCTGGGGAATGGTGGGCAGGTGCCGCACCGACGGTCAGACGGATCTGCTCCTGCTGGTTGGCCAGGCCGTCATAATAGTACAGGTCGAAGAGCCTCTCGGTCCTCCAGTCACACAGGAGCTCCTGCTGCAGGCTGAAGAGGACGCTGAAGTGGCTCTCGCTGCACACCACCCAGATGGGAAACCTTGGGGTCTTCAGGAAGCATCCAACCTGGATGGAGGAAGAGGCCTGATGAACGTGCCGTCCCCAGGAAAGAAGTCAGGGCATTTTCTGTCCAACCTAAGGCAGGGCTGACCTCAAAGAGGCCTTGTTGAGGATCATGTTTATGTCTGACACTGAGAGCCCCTGTGCTACCCAGACCATAGGCCTGTTTCCTAGAGCCACCCCTGTCCTGCCACCTCTGTCTGCTGCTGCTTGTGGAGCCTTTGCCACACAGACCTGAGACCTGGCATCACCCTCCCCTTAAGCCCCCACACCTAGGGGTTCCCAGTGCTGCCCATTCTGCATTCAAAAGCTCTTCAAACCCCAGCCTCTCCTCAGGTTTACTCACCACCCCCAACCTGGATCACAGCAATGACCTCCTAACCAATTCTTCCCACACCCCTCAAACTAATCCCGCTCGTCAACCATGCCCTTGTATTCTCTGCCCACCAGTCTAGGTCTGGCCTCCCCTTGGAAAGCCTGCATCCCCCAGCTCACCCAATCAGGGAACAGGGATAATTTCCTCCTTGCAGCTCCCAGGGGTCACATTATTAAGTGCCTGCCCACCTAGACCACAGGGCATCACTGTCTCACCATGATGCCTTCCCCTGCCTCTTTCATGCCAGACTACCCTTACTTATAGCCAAGAACCCAGGTCCTCAGGGATGAAGCAGGACTTAAGCTAGAACTACACCATGAAAACAGGTAGGACTGGACCCACAGGGAGCCAGGAGGGAAGGATCTACTGACCAGTCTATAGGGAATGCCAGGAATGAATGGCCAGAGAAGTTTAGGGTACAGAGTGCCATTCAGGAAGGGTGCAGGGGAAGATAAGGCTGAGGAAGTACCAGGGTAAGTAAGGCATGTGAACTTTCTGCTGAAAAGTTTCCAGCAGGCAAATTTCATGGTACAAAGGTGTTTGGGGAAGACAGGTACCTTGGAATAAACATCAAGGCCCTCTGCACATTGCTAGTGTCTTGCCTGCAAAGGGGAGAGTGACCAAGCCCTGAATGCCTGGCCCTCTAGCACTCTCTCCATCCCGTGACTCCCTGGGGCATGGTTCTCCCCACCCTGGGCCCTGGGTTATTTGGCTGTGTACATGCCATGGGCCAGGCTGATTCTGGCCTAATCCCCACCAGCCCCAGGGAAATGTTTGCATGCTCAGGTATTTACAGCCAGAGCCTGTGGATTAAAGAAAGAATGGGAATTATTTTTCCAGTGGGGAGAAGGGCATACTTTCTCCAGGGCCTTCACAGAAGTGTAGTCAGGCAGCTCCCGCCTGGGAGCTGACTCTGGGCTAGAGGTGTCTTGGACAGAGGGGCTGTACTCAAAAGATGCTGAACCAGGTCCCTAGTGAAATGCCTGCCCATGGGAAGCCACCTCCTCTAAAGAGCAGGAGGATGATCTTTACAACTTTCTCAACCCTTTCTTATTGTTGAAGAGCCCCTCCCCCTCACCACCAGGGCCCCGCCCCAGCCCTGTGTGACAGGAAAGCAGACTGCACAGCTCGCTTTCTGGTGGGGTGTGGGGGAATTAGATGTCTTAAAGGACATGGCTGGGTGTGCCTAAACCAACCCCATTGCACACTTGGCTTCCATTCCATTCCAGAAAGAGGCTTTTCTGTTGAGGGCATCACCTGGAACAGGGAACCCTGGAGCCAGGATCTAGTGCTCATTCATGGCAGGGAAAGAGTCCCGAAGCCAACCAGGGAGCAGGCCTTTGCACAGTCAGCCACCATGAATTTTCCATCAGAGGGACAAAAGGGCAGCTTGCCATACATAAATAACAGTCAAAAGATTAAGGGCAAAATAGCTGCCCAGAGAGCTTATAAATGAGTTTTTTCATTCAGAAGCCCCTTTCCAAGTGGGTGACATTTTCCAGAGATGAAATTCACTTCCTTCAAATTCTTGGGTAACCAAAGGCTTGGAGCAAGGTGTGAAGTGGGGAGCGGGGTACATATTTCCTCCAGCACAGTCTGAGGCTTTCTCCTGGTGGCTGAACATGCAGCACCATTAGAGGTTACCTTTTATGGTGATTCTTAATCTTCTGGGGAGGTTATGAATGACCTAAAGCCATCCATGGACCACAAGATTAGAAACACTAATTTAAAAAGTTCAGGCATCCCTGAGGGTGAAGAAGAAAATACACAAGGGTTGATAAACTATTTGAGGATATAATGCAGGAAAATTTCCCAGGCCTTGCTAAAAATCTAGATATCCAGATACAAGAAGCTGATGAGATTCCTGGTAGAGTCACTGCAACAGGAAGATACCACATCACATAGTCATTAGACTGGCCAAAATAACCACAAAAGAAGCCCTCCTATGAATTGTAAGGTAAAAGAAGCAGGTAACCTACAAAAGAAAACCCATCAGACTAACTGCAGACTCGACCCATCAGACTCAACTGAGACCTTATAAGCCAGAAGAGACCCAAGCCCCATTCTTACTCTTCTCAAACAGAATAGTGCCCAGCCTAGAATCTTGTACCCTGCAAATTTAAGCTTCTTATATAAAGAAGAAATAAAGACCCTCTCAGTCAAGCAAAGACTGAGGGAATTCATCAAGACAAGACCTGCCCTCCAGGAAGTACTCAGTACAGTATTACACACGGATTACCACAATAAACACCAATGTAAAATCATCCAAAAGCCAAAGGTCAAAGGCCAGATACCACAATGGCTCAAGAAAGAAAACAAAGCAACAAAGTTCAACTCAACAGGATAAACAGAAATCTTCCCCACTTATCAATTCTTTCAATAAATGTGAATGGCTTGAACTGCCCACTAAGGAGACACAGGCTGGCCAAATGGATAAATATACACAAGCCAAGTATCTGCTGTCTTCAGGAAACACATCTAATCTACAAGGATGCCTTCAGACTCAAGGTGAAGGAATGGAAAACAATATTTCATGCAAACAGAAGCCAAAAGAAAGCTGGGTAGCAGTTCTGATTTCAAATAACTTAGTCTTCACATCAACAAAAGTAATGGAAGACAAAGATGGTTACTATATAATGGTGAAGGATACAATTCAACAAGAAGATATAACAATTCTAAATATTTATGCACCTAACTCAGGTGCACCTAGATTCATAAAGCAAATCCTACTTGATCTAAACAAAATGATAAACAGCAACACTGTAATAGCCAGGGATTTCAATACCCCTCTGACAGAACAGGACAAATGCTCCAAACAGAAAATAAACGAAGAAACAATGGACTTAAACAGAACTCTAGAACAAGTGGGCCTGATTGACATTTACAGAACATTCTGAACCCCTCAACTGAATATATATTTTACTCATTAACTCATGGGGCATCTCTAAGATTGACCACATCCTTGGCCACAAAGCATGTCTCAAAAATTTTTTAAAAATAGAAATTATACCATGCATCTTCTCAGACCACAATAGAATAAAATTAGAAATAAATTCCAACAGAAACTCTCATCTCTATACAAAGTCATAGAAACTAAACAACTTTCTGCTGAATAATTATTGGGCTAAGGAGAAAATTAAGATGGAAATCAAAAGATTCTTTGAACTAAATGATAAAGGAGACACAAGTCAAAATCTGTGGGACACAGATAAAGCATCCCTGAGAGGAAAATTTATATCCATAAAGGCCTACATCCAAAAGACAGAAAGATCACAAATCAACAATCTAAGGAATCGTCTCAAAAAACTAGAAAAAGATGACCTGCATGTGCTCTTAACCCTACCAACAAAATGGCACATGACCCTGCAGGAATGCTACATCCCTGGACCAGGGGCAGCCAGGTGGAGGGATTGGCAGGGCATAATGAGATATCCCAGAATCCCCTCCCACTTCCCCTTCTTGGTGTTTCCACTATGCACAGGGAATTCTCTCTTTCTGCAGCTCCACTCAGAGAAAACTGACTCCAAACCCAGCAGAAGAAAAGAAATAACAAAGATCAGAGCAGAACTAAATGAAATTGGTAACAAAAAAAACTATACAGAAGATTAATAAAACAAAAAGTTGGTTCTTTGAAAAAATAAACAAACTTGACATGCCTCTTGCTAGATTAACAAAAAGCAGAAAAGAAAGAACTCTACTAAGCTCCACAGGAATAAAAAAGAAGAAATTACAACTAATACCATGGAAATACAAAGTATCATCTATGAATACTATAAAACCTCTATGCACATAAACTTGAAAATGTGGAGGAAATAGACAAATTCTTAGAAACACACAACCTCCCTAGGTTCAATCAGTAAAAAATAGAATTCCTGAACAGACCAATATCAAGTACCAAAATTGAAGCAACAATACAAAACTTTCCTAAAAAGAAGAGTCCCAGACCAGATGGTTTCACACCGAATTTTACCAGACCTACAAAGAAGAACTGGTGCCTATGCTGCAGAAATTATTCCACAACATTGAGAAGGAAGGAATCCTCCCCAACACATTTTATGAAGCCACCATCACCGTAATACCAAAACCAGGAAAGGATGTAACAGAAAAAGAAAACTACAGACCAATATCCCTTATGAATACAGATGCAAAAATTCTCTACAACATCCTAGCAAACTGAATTCAGGTGCTTATCAAAAAAATAATCCAGACTTATTGGGGAAAAAAAATCCATCACAACCAAGCAGGCTTCATCTCAGAGATGTAGGATGGTTCAACATAAGCAAATCTATAAATGTAATTCACCACATAAATAGAACCGAAACAAAGACCGTATGATCCTCTGCATAGACACAGAAAAAGCATTCAACAAAATTTAGCACCCTTTTATGATAAGAACACTTAACAAAATAGGCCTAGATGGGACTTACCTCAAAATGGTAAAAGCCATATATGACAAACGTACAGCCAACATCATACTGAACGAAGAAAAACTGAAAGCATTCCCGCTTACAACTGGAACCAGACAAGGTTGCCCTCTGTCACTACTTCTATTCAACATAGTGCTAGAAGATCTAGCCAGAAGAATCAGACAAGAGAAGGAAATCAAGGGCATCCAAATAGGGGAAGAAAA